CGAGGGGGTCCTAGAAAGGTGGCTTCGAAAAAAATGGTCGATTTAAGAATGGGGGGGTGCCACTTACAAAATGACGATACCCCAACAAGCATTTGAGGCCGAGGAATTTGGCGCGTAAGGGTCCGGCCAGGGAATGAATGACAGGTAGATCGCCGCGTTTTGTCGTTTCCCTTCTGAACTTCGGATTGGCCAGCGCAAACCGCCGGTTAGGTCAATTTTAACATCGAAATCGGCGGGTCCGATTGATCCACCGTTGCCCGTAACCCCGCACAGCACGGGAAATGGTGGTGTATTGTTTCGCGGGCGTCCTCGCGGACTCCCCGCGCGGACGGGTCGTCGGCGGACTCGGGCGAGTTGCCCGGCATTAGCGGACTGAGTGCGGACGGTCGCACTTTCGGGTCGAATCTGGCAGTACCGTGCTGACGGACTCAGGCAATTTTATACTGCCGTTATCGCTGCCGGTTTTGAATAGATGCAACCTGGGAGGTTCTGCCTTTTGGGTTAGAATCTGGGTTAAAAGATGTGCTTCTCATTTAGGGTTTTCGAAGCTAGTACAGGCTGTCCCTGAATCATGCAAGGAGTGCATCATTCAGGGAGAACGCTGATTCACAAGCCTCCAAGGATCGCATGCACTTTTTGCTGGTAAAAGCTCTTGCTGGTAAAAAGCTCTAGCTGGAGCTTTGAGGCGTTGCAGCTACGTGTGGCAGCAAGTCCAAGCTAAGCTGTATATGGACGGCAGGGTGGGGCCAATACTCTGTGAGCTAATTTAGCGAAGGTGCTGATTTGAATTAAAATCTAGCCATTGAGATGGGGGCATCCAGTAGACTCGGATTAAAGTTTGGGTGCAGTTGTTTGAGTATTCTGAACAGAAGGACAGCAAGTATAGGGGCTGCTTTCTCCCAGCTCGAAGTGACAACAGCTGCAGCGGTAAAACCTTTTGTTGGCGTGGTGGAGGGTATTTCAAAGGATCAAACATCTTTCACAAACCAGCAATTGGGTTTGAATTCTGAGCTGCCCTGCAGTCCAGCAGTTGTGGTTTGCTCTGTCAGTAGCACCATAGAACCAGCAAGCAGAAGGGGGCATGGTTTTCGGTGGCCCTTAGGGTTGGCCCTTCTTGCTCCAACGCTCGCGGCAACTGAATTGGTAAGCCTGGGCCTTTTGTTGCAAAACACATTCCATTTTGATTGCAAGTTGTTCTCTGTTTTTCCCATCTGTTTCTGGATTTTTGAAAAACTAGATGCCATAGTCAATCGAGGAGCCTGTCAGACACAAAACCAGGTACAGTTCAGAGAAGTGCTGGTCAGCTTTTCTAAAAAGCTCATTTGCTTAACTTGTCTGGACGAAGCAAGCAAAATGCTGGACAGGATATTATCATACTCGTTCACTCAAGAACCTGGCAGGATGGAGAAAGCAAGCAATATGATTTATAAGCATGCCAATGATTCAACAAAAATCATTGCAATCAAGCTCAGTAATTCCTGATGATCATTCTCTTCATCTTCAATGAACGCAAGGTCATTGGCCACAACCTTCAAAGGGTTTATGGAGAGACTTCTCAGATTGGCGGGCTCCACATGTTAAAGCAGACTTTGTATGCTTCTCACAGACGGCGCGCGCTGCGGATGAAGATGATGCATTCGATGACCTTGAGCAAGTTGAGGAGTTGGATATGGAAGATGCAGCACTTGAGTGGGGGTGGACGAGCGGTCTGATAGTGACAGCTCGATCTCGGATATGGAAGGCGATGACCCTGTCGATGAAAGTCCAGATCAAACAAAGGTGATCCTGACCAAGTTAGCTGCGGTGCGCTCGGATGCAACAAGAAGACTTTATCGTGTAAACACAAGAGACTATCAGGTGAGCTGCAAACATTTGATACTTCTTTTTGATCTAAGCTAGTAGCTGAACGTGCCATGGTGCCCATTGTCAAGACTGAACACATGTCTTCTTCGTCTTTCAAAAATAGATATGTGCTAAGGAAGGTAATTTCTTTCTTCGTTCCAGCGCTTCTGGGAAAGGAAACATCTGCTGAAAGCTGGGACGACAGTGCCCCGTGCAGCCGTCACCAAAGCAGGGGTTGGAAAGTTTATGGTGGCAAAGCGCAAGCGGGTAGGTCTTCTGTCCAGATTGATTATGGTGTCTAACGGGTTTTATGTGCAGAATGGTGCTTGTGTGTCCAGAAATGGATGTGATCAGATTGGTTCTGGTTGCAAATTGCAGTCAACAGGTTTTTTGCAGAAACTACAGAGACGCGATGTCTTCTAATGTGCATCGCGTGCATGCTTGTTACCTCTACATCTGATCTGACCGTGCGTGTACCGCTTCGTGTGCAGTCACACTCTTGGCTGAACAACCATTTGAAAGCGTTCCAGTGGGTTTTTAGAGCATACAAGCGGTCAGCAGATGCCACAGTCCCGGACCTGCGAAGACTGGCGGTCGTTGAAGATACTATGAAGTTTGCAAAAGAGAAGAGCGCGAATCGTGCAAAAGAGTAAGTGGAAAGGCTCCTCATGAAGTTTCATGGTTTGGCAAATACTTGAGAGAACTCGTCAATGAATCCTGCTCTGTTTAGCTTAAAAAGCTGGTTAACGTTGAAAGAAAGGAGGTTTACATGCGGACTGGAGTTCCGTCACTTTTAGCTTGCTCTACTCAACATAGTGCAATTCGAAGCCTGGGCTATCCAAGGTTGAAACCTGCCCTTTTTATGTCACGTTATTCTAAGCCCGGATACTTACACTTTCTTGTTCCTTTTGTGCACAGTGAGTATGAGGACCGCCAGAAAGGGTTAAGTGCAGGTTACAGCCCGCAGGAGTATTGTCAGATCAGCGAGTACTGGTTGAACATGCTCAGGAAAGGCCACAGAGGGGATGCCAAGGAGCCACCTCCCTTCACAGCCCTCCAGCTAAGGTAAGTCTGCTGTCACTCGAACTTCCTTGGTAAACAGATGTTTGAGGGTTAGCAATAGGTGTTACGTAATCTCTTTCCAAAGTTTTCCCTTGATTTTTGTGGATTGTCGCTTGCTGGATTGTCGCTTGCTGCTTTTCTTCGCTGTGTCTCTTCTTGTTGCGCCCGGCTCTCAAGTTTTTACCTCATTATTTTGTCTTCGCCCCTACAGGGCGGACTTCCTCTGGTTGAATACTGCTCTAGGACGTGGCCAAGATGCCTACAATCGGCAGCTACCTGACCAATTCGTGTACAACATGCCATACGTGGGCCCGGATCAAGCGGACGTCTTTGCTACGGTCACCAGAAACGGCAAGACTAACAAGGTTAGTGTCTATCGTTATTTGAATGGATTCAAGCAGGCTTTGCTGCCATGCACGCTCAAGCATTCATTTGCCTCTGGACACTAGCCTCCTCTAGCCACAAACCTTAAGTGTCCGTTGGGCCAGTATAACGAACCGTAGATTTGTAAGCTGCGGATCCCTCATTGATCAGTCATGCTGACCAGTCATGCCGCAAATCATTCTGAATGTAGTGTTGAAGCCAATCTTTGTGGCTAAATTGCTGATCTTTGTAGGTCATCTGTTGATCTGGTTTCTTTTCATCTTTCTACAGAATGCAAGGGCGGAGTTCATCGGCGCTCTTCGGAACCGCAACGTCATGATCTGCTGCGTTGGGGCGGAGGCCATGCGAACAATCTGGCGTTTCCACATTGACACGGATGCCAACACTTCTTGCCCCGATTTCAGCACCAAGCAAGGCTGGTACGTACATACAGTCGTTCGGACTGTTGATTGTGAGCTTGTTGGCAGTAGTCGGCAACACTTACTTCCTTGTTTAGTTCAACCTCTGATTGAATATGATGATCAGATTTGCCCTCGTTGCTTCAAAGGGTCAAGGATGGCAGGACATTGAAGGCTCCTCTGAGCGGCTTGGTAGCTCAGTACCTAAGCCACTCAGGTGGCCAACATTTGTCTTTTTCACGAGTGTTCCTCGCTCGGTTTCCAACCGTTTTCAACTCTCCCCTCCTAGGTATGACACGCCCGTTGCCCCAGGGCGAGCCACAAAGAAAAACCCGCATGGCCACTTGACGTACAACACCTACTACAAGTACTTCCGAAGTGCCTTTGAAGCAAACAACATCTCTTCGGACAAGGTCGTGCATGCTGGACGTGGGCACGGTACGCGGGCGGCAGCTGCAGCAGGGTGAGTGGCGTGACATTTCAACGTCTAACTCCGGTTGATGTACTTCGTCAAATCGGTCCGGCTAGCTTCGACTGGACGGAAGGGTCCCGAGCTGGTTAGGATTGCCCTTGGGGAGCTTAAGTTGTGTTGGTGGAATCTGCCATACGGTTTACTGTGCAGGGTTTCCAATCCAAAAGGAAGTGTGCCGGTTTTATCGAAGTGTTTCGCAACGTCAAAAGTCCACTTCGGCTGTGATACTCGCAACCTGCAGGCGAGTACTTAGAGGGGTTCAAAACTAACCAAGTCCGTGTTTGCACCACAGAGCGGACCCCCGAGAGCTCCAGTCGCTCGGCCGATGGACCTACGCCAACTTCGACATGTCCTATCTCACCAGCCTACTCCCGAAGGCGTTGGTCATTCAGGCCGGGGTCAACAAGGACGACACTAGAGGCCGACCTCTACTCAAATCCTACATCGTACCGCGGGGTCGGGTACAGCCTCCGGACGACCTGATCCAGTTGTTGCTGCCGTGGTTGGACGCTGCGTTGGCCGCAATCAAAGAGGTAAGTAGCATAGATGCGAAAGTTTCCTTACATGTAGGCGGGTATACGAGAACTCAGGCAGGCGAGTGCATGTCAATCGTTGAAAGCTTCGAAAGCCTTTGCACTATTCACCTGCAACCTGGCGTTCCTTGCAGTGCATCTGACGTTCCTTGCAGTGCATCTTTCAGGGCTGTATGGAAACGGGATTCGAAAGAAGCCAGGCTTTATGCAATCAGATGGATTGAAAATGATGCGTTGTCAATCTTTGAGAATTATTCTTGCAGAGGAACGTAAGGGGCCGAGCGTCTGACCGAGACCTTGCGGCGGAGGGCGTTCTGCTCCGTTGGAGGAAGGAGCGCGTCATCTTCCTACAAGACGCCGCCGCGCTCTGGAGCGCCTACCAGGACCTGACACTCTATCAACTCCCTGTTTTCAAGCACCCGAAGTGGGAGCCGTTCCGCCAAGAAGTCCTGGCGATGTGCGAGCGGTACAAGGACCTGGCGGTGGACGAGGTGGACAACTCAAACTTGCCGGCCGAGGTACGTTTTCTTGAAGACAATCTCAATCATGACGCAAACAGGTGCAAACGTTGGGCCATCGGTTTGCAGGCAGCCAGCAATGCGAGGCCCCGGTTAGACCGCCTCAGGTTTGCCTGACGCAAGAACGGACAGTTCGTGTTATTAGTGACGCAAGAACGGACAGTCCGGGCTGTCCTGACGCAGGAACGGACAGTCCGGGCTCTCGGGCTGTCCCGACGCAATCTTGAACGGACAGTCCGGGCTGTCCTGACGCAAGAATGAACATTACGGGCTGTGCTGACGCAAGAACGGACCGTTCGGGCTGTTACAAACCGAAGATAAATCAAAGCGCTATTGTGCTCTCTCGAGATTGCTTGCGCAAGAAAGAAGCTGCTCAATGCAGAGTCTTTAACCGACAAAGGCTGAAGGCGGGTTCCTAAATGCTTTCAGACGAGACCTGTGTCTTACAAGGATACTTCTTTTCTGCACCCGCAGGTTGCCACAGCGTTGATGGCCCTCGAGGAGCGCATCATCGCGCTTCACGACCAACTTGCAGAGGTTCGCGCACAGGAGAGCGCCGGGTCGCGAGAACGAGAAG